CAGCAAAAAAGAGGCAGGCCCTCAAGGAGCTGGATGGACACTGTGTGTGTGTGTGTGTGTGTGTGTGTGTGTGTGTGTGTGTGTGTGTGTCTGTGTGTGCCTGGAAGTGGAAGCCAGCCTTGGGCTCCTTGGGCTCGGCCGGGATGTGTCTGTAGCTGCCTGTGCAAGAGGCTCAGTGCAGAGCTGAATGGTTGTGACAAGGACCGTCTGGCCCACGGAGCCCAAACTATTGATGGCCTGGCCCTTTATGGAAAGCATTTGCCAGCCTCTGCCCTAGATCAAGATGTTTAAACATTCCATCAGCCTGTAGGCTCCCTTGTGCCCTCTCCCTGTCAATACTGGCCACCCTGCGGTAACCACCCTTTGACTTCTGTGGTCCCCGTGAGGGAGCCCGGGCTGGACCACTGGGTCCAGGTTCTGCTAGAAATGTGCTGTGGGATGTTCCCAGAGCTGCTGCCCTAGGTGAGGCAAAGGGGGCACCCACCACACTCGACGGGCTGGCAGGAGTCTCCAATGGGCTCTTCTGGGGCGAGCTGTCCGAGGTGATCCCGAGGTTCAGCTTTTCTATAGGGATGTCACTGCTGCAGAGGGAGGGGGCATGTCTGGGACCCAGTACCCGGGGAGCAGGGGCAGGGGGCCATGGGGATGTAGGGCTCTCCCTCCTACCCTGTGGCTCGGGGCTCGGGTCCTGGAGAAGCCACAGGGCTGAAGGTGCTTGTGGCTGTGGCATTGGGGATGAACCGGCGAAGCAGCCGTACCCACGTGGCGACGTCGATGTTCATCTGCCTGGCACGCTGGAATGCCTTCCCTGGTGGGGGGTGGGGGGTGGAGTGTGACGGGCTGGCATTGCCCTCTATGACACTGCTCAAGACCCTGGCCTCACCCATCCTCGCCAGGCCCCTCACCCTGCTGTTTGGAGAAAATCTTCTTTTGCCTTCGAAGCCGAGGGATCCTCTCAATGACGGGGTTCCGGAAGGTGACCTGGGGAGATGGGGGAAAGGGGAGCAGTTCCAGGAGAAAGTCTGGGGGACAGGTGGGTACATGCCAACGTTCAAGGGTGTGTTCAGAAGACTGTGGTGTCCCCTCCCTTCCCTGAGTACCATGGGGCATTCACGAGGGCTCCTAAAACCAGCTCACTGCCCAGGCGCGGCACCCCCCCAGGTGCCATCTGGAAAGGGAATAGTCGGAGCAGTGACTTTCCAAGGGTGGGCCCCAGCCCACAGTGCCGGCACCACCTGGGGACAGGGTCAAAAGTCACGTTCTCCTGCTGGTCAGAAACAGGGGAGGGGGGCTCTGGGTGGGGACTGAGGCCACCTTTGGAAGTCACTGGTCTGGTTTTGTTCTTTATAGCTCAAACATCACTTCCAGAAGGTATGCAAATGAGTTCCACAGTCTCCCAGGCC